AACAGAATGCCATCATCGCATGATTCTCGCAAGCTCCTGCAGCTGTGTTTCCCACTGTTGGGGTTGCAAGCCCCCGAGTAAATACAAGGGAATTCTTCCATTGAAATGACTCCTGCGGCAAAGGCAATGCCGCAAGGTGACAAAAGGCGTACACGGCGCGTGTCGTGGTGAGCAACAAGTGGCCATACCCCATCGCAAAGGAGACAAGGCTCTCCGCGCTCTGTGGCTCCTTCTCTCTCGTTCGAATCTCCACCGCCTTTGGAAGAATCAACTCGCCTGCAGCCAAGCGACTTGCCGGGAGTCTGGGCAAAATAAAACGCCCCCCACATCCGTATTGCACACCGTGGCGAATTAATAAGAGCCTCTCAATGTCACCCACTCCAAGAGGTCGTGGTGGTAAGTTTTCGGTTGTCAAATTTTTTTCTCTTCTGGCGGACATAAAACGAAACATCGGTGGTCTTTGCGTCGCGCCCCCTTTTTGTGGCTGCAGAAGCGCAGAGAATTCTCGCAGAAGCCGGCCAAGATCCACCACGCTGAGAATACCAATGGGCAATAGACTTTGCCACAGGTTCAAAGGCAAACGCGCATTAGGTGGAGGCGGAAGACCTGTTGGCCGCAGTGCCGAGGAACCAAATCCCTTGTTTTTTTGCAGCAGAGAAGGCGAAAGCGCTGCTAAAGAAGCCTCCTCTGTCAATGTACTCACTGGGTCCGTCAACATGATAACACCATGCGTTAGAGTATCACCGTACTGCCAAAAAAAAACATGTGGAAGTTTGTCCGCGTCAGCCCCGGGTACAGAATTCCGTTTGGCGTCATGATCTTTATTGGCTTCCCCTCCTCCTTCTGCTGTCGGCACACGTAATGATGATGACTTCGTGGGAATCAACTCGCGGGGATCCAGGATAGCCACTTGTGAAAAAAGACGCGGCATCGAAGCATCCGGAGAGGCATGTGTGACTTTCGTGTCTACATGAGCGACGGTGCTTGAGAGAGCCCTGTGACGGCACCCAATTGAAGAGGAAGATAAAACAGGGGAAGGGGTGACAGCATTTGTGGTTGTTGCAGTAGTAATATTCGCCGTCGTCGTCATCATCGTCTTCGTAGACGCCTCTTTGTTGATACTGATGTAATTCATCAAACTACCGCCACTCAACCCAGCACATGACAACGATAAACCAGGGTATAAGGTTGCAGAATTGGAGCGTGGCACAACGTTCTTGCAATTCATTGGGTTTGTATCAAATGCGGCCTCAAGTCTACCACCCTGTCCCCATAGCGAAGAAAAAACAAATAAACGACTATTCTGAGCAATAAACACCACATGGTGACGTGTGTGTTCAGGCGATTGTGAATCTACCATGTACGCCACGCTGTCAATAGGGTGGGTGCTGTATGGTTGTGGAAATTGGTACAATTTACGGGCTTCAAAGATGCCGTGGGTCTCCAAACGGCACGCAAGAAGGACTCCACCACTGCTGGAGCCAAGAATAATATCACCTGTTGTCGTATCACTCTTGTTATTGGGGTCCCACGCGACGCATTCCAGGTAAAATGGTTGTAACATGCCGGTGACATTTGAAGAAAACTGCAGCGGAAATCGCCGGGGCGTCATATCTTCCTCAGACCTTTCTTCATCCCCTCCAGCCTCCATGCCTTCTGTGGGCCAGCCCTCAGTATGATGACGTCGATGGCAACGGCGGTGAGGAATGTGGTAGTATGCCGCCTTGCCTGATCGCCACCGCACCACACAGAAGTTCCCCCGTGGATCAAGAAAAAGCGCTGAGACGGCATCTTTTTCATCGATAAAAAACTTTACGGCAGCCGGTGATTCATCTGACATCTTCGCATCACTTGCAAGCTTCAGGCGACTGATGGCAATGTCTTTCTCCTGATCAAAAAAGTATAAATGTTGTGGCACTTGCTCCGTCACCACGGCGTAAATTCCACCAGCCACAACAACGTGTGCAAAGGGTTCCACGTTGTGGTCAATGGGGCATGCTGGGCGTTCCATGCGGTATCCAATCGATGGAATTGCCGCCGCCACACCCTTCTTCTCCGCGTCACAATAAAACGCCCTAACAGCAGCGTGTACACTTCTACTGTTCTGTGCACAATCTGCAAGCGTTTGTTCTTCAAAGCGCCGGCGTGTCACCTCCATGACAACTTCCTTGATCTCGAGAGAGTCATCGATATCGGATGCCACGTGCTCCGATGTCAACAGGGCGGGATCAAACCACGAAACCTTCTCTGATGCCACATACATCAACAATTTCCTTCTTTCCTGTGTGTGTGTGTATGTGTGTTTGCAATGTCTCCAGGCAAATCAGAAAGAAAGACAAATACCGGCACACAGAAAAAAAAATAATAAAATAAAATAAAATACATTTTGTCAGGAGGCTCTTTCAGCAAAAAAAAAAAAATATTCACGTTACACACAAAAAAAAAGGCATTTTCGGGCAAATAACGTAAAAATCACACACAAATAAATTTTAAAAAGTTCCTTCTTTTTTGAAATGGACTCTCGCCACTTCACAATTCTGCGTGCGTACGCCTTTGCGTGTTGTGTGTGAAGTGCATCTAAAATGGTGTCAAAATGTATGCGCTCCCGCAACAATAGAAAGCAAATAAAATCACATAAAATAATATGCGGCAAGCAGAGGCCTCTAATTTAGATTTGAATACATGCCTTTTAATAGCATTTTTTTATGTGGCCCTGCCCTGTCAAAGCACCCGCGCCACATGTCTATTTAGTCCAATCGCTACACTGTATAAAACTGGTCGTCTGGCATTCATTTCATCAGAGCCCGCATTTCATTAATGCGGCTCAGCAAAACCTCGGTCGAAGATCTCACAGCGCCTCCAGCACCTATTTCATTCACTGGTGAGGAAAGGACGGGTCTTTGCTCGTGCCCAAAGAGCTGACGCAGCGTGATACCACCGGCCCCGACCTTTCGCGTGGTTTGCAGACAGGAAGTACCCGCCGAAAGAAAAGGTGCATTTGTCCGGTCATCACCAAAACGATGAGGTGACTTAGAATTAAAAGGTGACTGTGGTGCCATAAAGGTTTGTGCATCCCCACTGGGGGCATCAGGGAGGACGTTCCTCTTCTGTTGGAAGGGCAGTAACGCACTTTTGTTTAGAGATGTACGACGTTGACGTTCATTCAATATCTGTCTTAAACTAGGCTCATTTTCCACACCGTCGGATGGCATTGCGTAGGAGGACGTAGTTCGGTACTGCAAGGTCGCCGCAGGGGATCTGTCGCCACCACCGCCGCCACCACCAGGACTGTACTCTGTTAGTGGTGATACATGAACCTCCGAAATTCTTGAAGAGCTCTCTATAAGTTGTTGCTCCTGTCGCCGTTGCTGTTGCTGTCGTTGTGGATCACGAGAAGGTGTCCTCTGATCCGTCATGTGAAGCTGCTGCTTTCTTCGCTGCGGTTGTCCCTCTCTGAAATTCACTGCATCCTTCGTGTTATGGTGCAAAACAGAAAATGGCAAATTCTCACTATCCTTCCTTTCTTGACTTGAACGAGGGCGAGAGGACTGAGCAGTTGACGCTGGTGATGGCGATAACATTGTTGCTGGCGGTTGTGTGTGCTCCATCACTCGGGACGGAGAAAACCAATCCACCTCTCTCCCCTGATCCACTGAATGGTCATGCGCGGAAAAGCCGCCCGTGGCTCCAACACGCTCGCATGCAGATGGCGATAACGGTGCTGCCCTCGATGGCCTCGAATAACCAGACATGTTCTTGTGACTATCCGAAGAGTGGCGACGCCAGTTATCATGCGACTGTTTCGGTTGTTTCCCCCTTGATGACATGTTGTTCAATACAAGAGATGCGGGTGTTCGCTGATGCAGAGCCTGTCTACTAGTACTGCTACCAGCGACTCGACGTTGGCTTTCGTGCCGTTTTGGGCCAGCCCGGATCTGCGTCTTGAGTTCCGGGCGTTTTGACGCCTCATTGAAACCTTTTTTTCTGTTTGCCTGCACGGTGGAATCCTGAAAAAAGTACAGGCTTCTTGATTTATTCTCGGCAGTTACTTTCTGCGGCGTCGGAGCACGCAGGCGGTAACACAAATCTGAACTATTGAGAGTGACTCTTCGTCCAGAAGCCTGCATATCCGTTTGCCTCTCTTCTGACCGTAAAGCCGACCGAGCACGTGGTCTCCCTTCGACTTGCCCTTGAGGCCCCCGCGTGACGAAATTCGCCGAAAACCGATGCCCTGAACTCTCACTTCCCTTTGCTGCTGCACCTCTGTGCGTCGTGATCCGTGGCTCATCCAAAGTCTCCTCCTCGCCGTATTCCGCGCAGTAATACTGATCGGCGGCAACATCGGAGCAAAGTTCCGCCTTGCCCCAATAGCCAACAAAGCCACTGCCACGACCACGCACGGAAGGCGGCCCCAATACACGTACGGGTGACGGCGAGGCAGACCCGCAACTTGATCGAAGCCCGCTCATCTCGCGTACACTACTGCATTCATGGCACTCCGAATCTCGTCTCACCTGCGCCAGCCTCCAGTAAATTGGAACCTCCCCTTCCTTTTCATTACCAGCGGTACTGTTACTCGTCACTTCCGAGTGTTCACGATCTACCACGTTGCTCATCAGCTTCCTCATTGGTGTCCCATCACGCCACGTTGACTGCGACGATGATGCACTGCGGGCATAAAGAGCCGCCATTCTCTCCGCGTCAAGAGAAATAGACCGGCGGCATTCAACTCTAGCTTTCCTGTTATGACCACCAACGGCATGGAATTTATTGCCATTCTTCTTATTGATGGAATTGTTTGATGCACCAAGGCGCCCCCTCAAAGACAAATGAGACGTATGTGAAATGGAATTCACTGGAATACCCACTCTTGGTGGAAGGCCATTGCTCTCCATGCTATTAGCTCTGCAACCGGCGCCAATTCCACCCTCATTGAATCCAAAGTTGTTCTGTTTACAAGTCGCTTGGCCTGCTTGATGCACCTTCTTCATTTGTTTTTGTTGTTGTTGTTGTTTTAAAACGGATTCGTAAATAGAAGGTCCATGACGAGGAACAGAAGAAGTGATGGTTCGTGGTCGCTGCCTATACAACGGCAACGATGCTGACGATAAATTCTTTGGTGGTGGCGGTGGCAACTCGGTTGTTCTCACGTCTCCCTTCATTGCCACCTGCGATAACTCCCATTCGTACTGTTTACGTATTGCCAGCAGTTTAGACTTCTCTTTATGAAGCGTGTTCAATGACCCGGTGCCTGAACGCAATGATTTGATCCATGGGATTTTCTCCATACGGTGAATCTCCCTATCAATCAAACGGATTTGGCGAAGAAGACATCGACGTCGACGTGTCGCAGCACTGGATTCCCCACTCGTATGACGTTGACTTCTTTTACCCACACTAGAGGATGGGTGCATATGCGCTGCTATGGATGCAGCAGGCTTCATGTCTTCCTTCACCCACTTCTGTAGAAGAATGGGAGAAGTACTCCGCAAGGAGGCAAAATAATCGGCGCAGTTATTTTTACTTGTGCGAGTGGATGTCTCCGCTTCTCCTCCAACGCCATCGCGCCCTCCACTCCTTCCACGACTCATCCGCATCGGTGGCTTATTTGAGTTCTCAGAACTAACGGAGCGAGCACCACAAAACAAGACATGGTTCTCACCACACCCCACCGTCAGCCTTTCGAGCTCAGCATGTACAAAGGCAGCAGCCCTTCGGGAGGGTCTGCGGGGCACCGGCTCGTCGTCATCGTCGCCGCTCTCCGACATTCGTTTCGTTTCCTCATCAGAAGGCGGAGGCGACGACGGCAAACTCGCTTCACGTGTGTGGCTTTGACCGTTTAACCGACTCCTACCGCCCTCTGAGGGGGCACGAAGAGTTCGGATCTCTTTATCCGCCTTCCCTGTCACTTCGTTCCTCCTCGTCATTCCCACGGAACCGCCAACACCACGCGGTGTAAAGAATTTTTTCTCCACCGTGACGCCTTTTGTTGCAATAGGTGATACAAGAGTGAAGCGGTGGCGTGTCGAATGGGACGTCGAAGGCTGCGATACTTCTGTGTCTTTGGTGACGGCACTGACATCCTGATCAACAGATCGCCGAGTTTGTTTCTTCTTCCCTCCGTTACCGGGCGCCGAATGGTTCCGTCTTTCGTTACCTTCACTGTTATCAATGTGAGCAACTGTCACGGTACCATTGTGAACATCCGGAGAAAAACAACGAGACTCCTTCATTGTCGTGGTGGCGGCGTCGCGTTGCTCCACAGTATGCGGTGACTCGTCCAGTACTACAACAACAGCGGGTGATGCCGTCAAATCCACTGCGTCAGGGCCTTCCTTCTCCAGTTCCGGTCGTTTATTCTCGCGCGGTGGCGTTGTGCTCATCACGACAATCCCGTTGTCTCCCTCAGACATCATTTTACCTCCTGTATTTGGTGGAAAATTCGGTTTAAAAAGGAATGATGATGTTTGCGTTTGCGCAGCCACATCCCTCCCATTCGTACTACTTGCCTTCACTCCCGTCTCGTTGACTCTATCGCCGCCTGGAAGTCTGCGCGACGTACACGTCGAAGGGTGCATCTTTTCTACAGATCCACACGCATCCCACTCACGTCGCTGCTGCTCGCGGGCGGCCCGCTGTTCCTGCATGGACTTCTTCAGCAAACGTATCTTCTCTTGGAAGAGAGTTCCGGCGTCTTTGCCAGCGGCATCCATTCCAGTGCCGCCACTACGTGCCGTCATCGTCGAAGTATTCGTGGAAGGAATGGTGGTGGCGCTAAATGTGTCGAAGGAACAGGACGAGCAAACAGTAGACGGCATTAAAGAAGATTTCACCGTTGGTGTGGTTGTTGTAAACGTCGTGGACGACGTATCCTCGGAAATTCCCCGAGAAAAGGACAAAAAGGAACGACACGAGCCACTCCTCCGCCAACCCAACGCAACGCCCGGGTCCCAAGAGTGCGACCCGTTCCGCATGGCTCCTACTTCCCCCTTCCCCTCCTCCTCTTCCTCTTTCTCCTCGGGCCCCTCTCGCGGAGCACACCGCAAGTTAAGAGAAGGTCTGGACAGGAGAAAATAATAATAATAATTTTTAAAAAATATTTAAAAAAATAAGAGAACAATGAATAATAATAATAATAATAAAAGAACCAAAGCCACACACCAAGGGAAAAAAAAAAAAGCATCGCTGGCCGGCTTTCCTGCACTTTCGGTGGGTACTTCTGTGCGCATGCGTGCCCGCCCGTTTATACATGATGAACGGGGCAAGAGTGTTCTCATCACTCTCTCCTTTTCCTCCCTTTCCCTTTCCTTTTCTTTCTTTTCTTTCTTTTCTTTTTTTTCTTCTTCTTCTTTCCTTTTTTTCGTCCTTTAGTATAGCGATGTCTTTTTCATCACGCGGAGAAATTCATCCTCGCTCACCTCACCGTCACCGTCGCGATCGGCCTCGTCTATCATCTCCTGCAGCTCCGCGTCTGTCATGTTCTCGCCGAGCTCCTGCGCCACTCGTTTGAGGTTCTTAAAAGAGATCTTCCCCGTCTTGTCGTCGTCGAAGAGATGAAACGCCCTCAGCATCTCCTCACGTGAGTCCCGCTCCGTCATCTTACGGGCCATGAGCTCCGTAAACTCCGCAAAGCCAATCGCCAGCGGTTCCGTACCGGGACCAGCGGCTTCGACCCCCGGCACGCGTCGTTCCTCAGCGATGGACAACAACAGTCGACGCACTTCGTCCTTGCGGGGCTCAAAGCCGAGTGCTCGCATGGCGACTTTCAACTCCTTCGCGTCGATGGTGCCGCTACCGTCCGTGTCGAAAAGATCGAAGGCCTCTTTGATCTCCTGTCGCTGATCCTCAGTAAGCTCCGACATGGCGTTGTTCTTGCCTGCGCCCCTCGGCTGGGAGGCTGTCCCCGGTGGCGTGCTCTGCTTCGCGGTGTGACTCATTGGACTGGCGGTGAGTGACTCTCATAATGACAAACAATAAATAAATAAAACAGACAGTTTGAGAGTGCCCTCCGGGAACGCAGTAAAGTCACCGGCAACCG